TGCAGGACTGGGGAGCAAACTCAGGGTTCCTGCTGCAGTGCAAATGCTCTGGCCCTTGTCTCCTAGTCCCTACAAAACACAAAAATGTATAATTATTTTCCTTAGAATATCTTAACTACCTGTCAAGATTAACTATTTATGGCTTTGTTTACTAGATGACTTTTTTGGGGAGGGGGATAATATGGACCACACTCAGCAGTGCTCAGGGCTTACTCCTGGACCCACACCCTGGGTCACTTCTGGTGGACCTGAGGGGACCATATGAGGTGTCAGGGATGAAACCCAAGTTAGCCATGTATAAGGTAAGTGCCCTGTCCGCAGTACAATTGCTCTGTCCCCAGAGGAGGAGACTTTTCTTGTTTTGAGGCAACACCTGGCAGTACTCAGATTTATTCCTGACTCTGTGCTCAGGGATCACTCCTGAAGGGGCTTAGAGAACCATACGTGGCACTGGGGATCAAACCCGGGTTGGCAACATGCAAGTGCCTTATCTGCTGAACTAGCTCTGTGGCCCCTGACATTTTGTTGTTTTTGCTTTTGGTCCACACTCAGCAATGCTCAGGGGTTATTCCTGACTCTGTATTCAGGAATTACTCCTAGTAGTGCTCAGGGGATCATATGGGATGCTGGATATCAAACCCAGATCAGCAGTGTGCAAGGCAAGCACCGTACCTGCCATACTATCTATCTCTCCAGTCCCAACTCCCAACATTTTAAACATGGACACAAGGGCAATGAGATATCGAACATTTTATACGTGTTTGTTTTTTTACTACTGTATTCTGACACTTTAAATAGTATCTAGTATATGAAGGGCATAAAATAAAAACAGGAAGGAATGGAAGGAAACAAAACAACTGTAGTTGGGAAATCAGGACAATTAACATGAAAGGCAGGAGGGGAAGAGCAGAGGAGGTAACAGGTAAGGTTGGCGTGTACTCAGGGTCAACACAGAGGTCCTTGCTCTAAGTGCAGAAGCTGGGGTATTAAAGTCTAAGGAATAAGTTTTGGATTCCCCTTTCTCCCATCCCTTTTTTTTCCCCAAGCCTCTTCACCCTGCCCCATTCTCACAGTAAACATCTTTAACTGTCCTGGACTCTGAAGCCTTCCAAAGAGCCCCTCCCCGCAACAAAATATACTGTAGATGCTACTATCACTGTACATACAATATTTACTTATGTATTTATATTCCTCTAGTGGACTCTGAGCCCCAAAAGCAAAGACTATGTCATCTTTTGTTGCTACACTGCATGTTAGGGCAGGTGAGAATCTTACCTAAATGTCTAGTAAGAAAATGAACAAGGGTCCGAGAGAATGCCCAACTGGCTAAAAAAAAAAAAAAAAAATTAAAAAAAAGAAAGAAAAGGAATGGGTTAGTATTATATTCCACACTGGACAAACAATATCCTGGGAATTGTTTTCAGATCTGGGTACTCTAGAACAGATAACTTCATCTTTAGGCCTAGAGGTTGCGAGGACAAATGTTAAAGAAATCAGGTTAGGGGCTGGAGTGACAGCACAGTGGGCAGGGCATTTGCCTTGCATGCAGCCAACCCAGGTTCGATTCCCAGCATCCCATATGGTCCCCAGAGCACTGCCAGGAGCAATTCCTAAGTGCATAAGCCAGGAGTAAACCCTGTGCATTACCAGGTATGACCCAAAAAGAAAAAAAAAATCAGGCTAATAATGTAAATTAGTTGACAGGTGCCTGGTAAGATGATAGCAAACAGATGAGATCATGCTCTGCTTTTATATGAAATCTCTTCAATGTAACTAAATTAATAAAAAAAATCATTTTTGACGAATAAAAAGAATACTACTGTGTAGAATCTCTGAAATACAGCCTACCTGACTACAAGTAACTATGCAAAGCAAATCTGCAATCTACTTTGGACAACGTGATCTAAGCAAGAAAGTAACACAATATGAACCCCATTTAAAAAGAACATTCTGACAGAATAAACTAAGGTGCTATTGTAATACTCAAGAGTGAGGTTACGGGCCTATCCTGTACTAAGACAGTAGCAGTGGGGAAAAGGGGTGGGGGTGGATCTGAAAGATGACCTGGTTGATCCAGTTTTAATAATGAAACCCAAGATTGCATGAGCTAATCTGGCAGCCACATTACCAGTTTGTAGGGTCATACTAATTTTTTTAAATAAAGGGCTAGTCAATCATAATTACAACACTTAACATAATTTTTAAATGTTCGATAGATGCATAAAACATAGGAAAAATTAAACATTAGTTCATAATAAAATCTTGACAAATTAGGCAGAGAAGGAATATATCTATAAATAATAGCCATAAATGGCAATGACAAGTCTCATATTCAATGATCTTAGAACAGAAACAAGGCACAAGGATACCTTCTCAGGGGCTGGAGCGATAGCACAGCGGGTAGGACTTGCCTTGCACGCGGCCAACCTGGGTTCGATTCCCAGCATCCCATATGGTCCCCTGAGCACTGCCAGGAGTAATTCCTGAGTGCAGAGCCAGGAGTAACCCCTGTGCATTGCCAGGTGTGACCCCCCCCCAAAAAAAATACCTTCTTACATTCCTATTCAACATAGTCCTCAATCCTCAATGTCCTAGCTGAGGAACAGGCAGAAAAAACAAACGAAAGGTATCATTAAAATTCAAAACAAAAAGTAAAAATTTTCTATTTGCACATGACATGATTATTATGTACAGAAAATCCTAAAGAAGCTTATCACAGGAAGGGGATGAAAAATTCAGGAATGGGGGAGGGACAAACATTGGTTGGGACAATGTTGGAGGGAAGTGAACACTTTGGGAAGACTGTGGTGCTGGACTGTGTCGTGCATGAAACCCTACCATTAACAACATAGTAAATTATGATGCCTAAAATTTCAAATATTAATAATAAGTTAATAAAAACCCTTAAGACTCAACTGAAAAACTGCTAGGTCTAATCAATGAATTCGGTAAAGTTGCATGATACAAAATTCTATAATTTCTACATTCTAACAACAAAACTTCTAAAAAAGAAATTGATCCCATTAATAACTACCACAAACTAAATCCTTAGGAGTAAAGTTAGAAAGGAAAAATTTACACTAAGTACAAGACAATGATGAAATAAATTATTCACAAGTAATACAAAGGAAGAATTCATGTATTAGAAGAACTGATTATTAATAAAGTGCCAATAGTAAGAAAGGCCGTTACAACCTACTGCTCTCTTGATTGCAATGATGATCATGGCAGGATCAGAGAGCTCAAAGGGCTGAGCACATGCTTTGCATGCAGGAAATTAAGGATCGATCCTTGTACTACATAGTTTTGAGATCCATCAGGAGCAACCCCCAAGCACAAAATCCAGGAGTAGCCCCTGAGTGCCAGACCCAGCAAAAGGTTAAAATTTTTTTCATGGTACTTTTTTGAAGAGGAGGTTGGTGCCACACCTGGCAGTTACTCAGGGGTTATTCTGGTGGGCTCAGGGGACCATATGGGATGCCAGGGATCAAACCTGCATTAGTCACATGCAAGGCAAGCAACCTACCCACCATACTACAGCTCCAGCCTTTATTATAACATTTTTTCCCCAGAAACTAAAAGATTTCTAAAATGCATTTGGTACCATGAAATAACCAACAGAAACAAAGAAATCATGGGGGTGGGGATTAGGGGTGGCGAGAAGTTTGAATAAAAAAGCAGGTTGTTTCCTAATTTCAAGTTTTCAAGTCCAATGGGGACAACCCAGAGATAACTGTAGGTTCAGTTCTACACAGCTGTTATAAAGCAAATACTACAATAAAGTGAGCCACAGGAAGCTTTCTGTTTTCCCAGGGCATATTAAAGTTCTGTTTACACTACTGAGAAGAATGTTAAGTGTGCAACAGCGTGTCTGAAAAAACAACCTAACATTGTAAACGTGACACAAGCACACAAAGTGAGCACAGGGTGTGACCCAAAAGCCAAAACCAAAACCAAACAAAAAGACAAACAAAAAAACCCAACGAAGAAAGACACTCCAATAAATGATGCTAAAATGTGTGGATAGTCACATGTTAAAGACTGAAAACTAACCTTAGTACAACTCATAGAAATTAACTTGAAATGGGTTTAAAGACTTAAGTACAAGATCTGAAACCATGGGATTCCTGAAGAAAGCAGGAATAAAATTCGTTCACTTGGGTCTTAGTAGTCATTTTTCGGATGTGACACTAAGTACAAGCATTAAATTAAAAAAAAAAGATTAACCAGCAAAATTACGTCAAATTTCAAAAGCTTCCGCAATAGCCAAAAGAAATCATCAATGAAGAAAAAATAAATACAAAACAACCAGGGTCAGAGAGGTAGTACAGAAGGGAGGTTGTTTTCCTTGCACATGGCTGACTCAGGTTTGATCCCCAGCTTCCCATATTGTCCTTGAAGCCTGCCAGGAGTGAGCCCTGAGTACTGTGGTGTGTGGCCAAATGAGGGGGAAAAAAGGAAAGAGAAAAACAATCTATGTGAAAGGGAAAAATATTTGCAAACCAGATACGTGATAAAAGGTTCATATACAAAATACAGGAAGAATTAGTTAAACACAAGAAAAACATATTTTAGGGATGTAACATACAACATGATGAGGGCAGGGAGATGGCTCAAGGCTGGAGCACATGCATACGATCACCTGGTTCCCAGAGCACCAACCAGAATAGCCCCAAAGCACTGGGTATGGGCCAAAACAAAAGCAATTAATTAAAGCAATTCAGGGGCAGAGAGACTGTATAGGTGGTAAGGGGGGACCTTGCCTTGCATGCTGCTGACCAAAGTTCAATCCCCAGCACCACATAAAGTCTCTTGACCACTGCCAGTGGTCACTCCTGAGCACAGACCCAGAAACAGTCCCAGAGCACCACCTGAGACCCAGGAATATGGTCCAAACTACTCTCACACCTCCCAAAAAAAACCCTAAAATGATGACTACAGTGAACTACACTACATAATATAAAGGATAACTGTTAAGCACAAATCCTAAGAATACACACCACAAGAACTTTTTCCTTTTTCCTTTCTTCTTTCTTTTCGTTTGAATATATCTATAGGAGAAAATGGATGTTAGTGCAATCTATTTTGTTTTTTTTAATAAAGTTGTTCACAATAATACATTAACATTTAATATTCAAACACCAATCCCACCATATTTTAAATCTTTCCACCCCAAATCCTAAACTGTGCCCCCTAAAGTGAACTGAAACAATTAATTTTGTATTACTTGTTATGAATAATCCGCTAAAAATGGTCTAATAAAATTTCCTTAGAGAAAAATGTGTGAAGATTGTTGTATTTCAGCCTATGCCCATTAAGCCCTTGTATGAGATTACTAACATGTTTGTTAAAGGTTGAGTCTTGTGTGCTTATATATATCTCTATCTATACAAGCGCGCGCATACACACACACACACACACACACACACACACACACACACCATGAGATTGGCTGCCTTCTACTTTAAACCCCATCAAATGTTGTGTGCTACTCTTTGTATACCTCAGTGGTATAGAGTATTAGAGGTTGCACAGCCACAAATGCAACCACGTGCTCAAGGAATTCTAAAATTTAGAATATCACCATAATCTATTTTGGTAATCATTTCAGAATAAATGTAAGTCATCATGCCACGATGACGTACATCTATTGACATAAACAAGATATGTCAATTATTTACCATTTATAAAATATTTTTAATAAAAAAAATTCTAGGAACTCTCTCCACCCTTTCCTTCCCTTTGCTGTTACCGCTGCTGCACTTGAGGGCAAAGGGACCTGCACACCTTTGACAGTGGTACTTGCCAGGGTTCACATTCTCCACTGGGAATCCAGGATTTCCCAGGATCCAACTCAGCATGTGGAACAGTACCACTGTGAATTCAGCAGGAGCTCTACCTGCAAGGCAGGATTATACCACCAGAATAATCAGGCCTCAGGGTTTACTTCTGATTTCTTTTGTTCGAAGTTAGATGCAATGATTAAAGATTAAAGGCTTTAGAGACAAATAGCCTAATGTCAAATGTTGATTTTGCTGTGTCAGAGAGATAGTACAATGGGTAGGACACTTGCCTTGCTCATGGCTAGCCTGGGTTCAATTCCCAGCATTACATATGGCCCCCTGAGCCCGTAGCACAGATCCTGATACCTGAGCACAGAACCAAGAGGAAGCCCTATGCACTATGGGGTATGACCCAGAAACAAAAATAAAAACACAAACACAACCAAGCAAAACAAAACAAACCTGGTTTTGTGACTTACTGGGTATCCGTTAAATTTATTGAATTTCCTATGTGTTTAACAACTACCACCTTAAAGAGTGAGCTAATGTATGAAGTGCTCAGATCAGGACCTACCTGATCCACATCTCAAGTAACATTTAAGTTTTAGCTTATATTATTATTTGCTATTATATGCAAGGTTGTTTTCAATCAGTACTTTGTTTAGGGAGTGGATGTCCAGCGGGTAGCAGCCAACCCAGGTTTAATTTCCTGCACCAAAATATGGTCTCCCCCCAGCCAAAGCAATACCAGGATTGATTCCTGGCCACGGAATCCTGAGTAATGGCCACATGTGATCCCAAAACAAAACAAATGTTTGTCTAAATATCTTATTTTCTTATTTTCTGAAAATCTTATTTCAAGAAAATCTTATTTTCTCGCAAACATTACTTACAAATCCAATAGCCAAATTATCCTATCTCTTCATCCAAGTTGTTAAAAATATAATCAAGAACAGACCTCAAAATGACACTAAAAACGTCTTTTCTAGATAAATACCACTGCATTCATTAGTACTTCATGATACTTGCATGCCCAGTCCTAATTCTTTTTGTCTTGGGGGGAAAAATTTAAACATCTAATTATAGTACATAATCTTTGTAGCATATTCCTGACTGTCTAACCTAGAAACTATTAAAGAAATTAATTGCCCTGATCCATATTCAAGTGCGACATGGTAATTATCTCTGGATGGTCTGATTTTTTTTTCACCTGTTCATTTTCTATCATTCTGTAATATATAACTTATAACTTCAGGGTGGCAGTGTTAGATTTTTGATCACACCCAGTGGCATTCAGATGCTACTCCCAGCTTGATGCCTAGGGAGCCAGGCAGTGCCAGGGATGGGACCCCGGGCTTCAATCCTTGTACTTCCTCCCTGGATCCCTAGTTTTATAGTTTAAATAAAATCACGGTAACACACATGAAAATAAGGATTTATCAGTTAGCATGATTCCATGTGACTACAAGCTGACTCCTAAAAGGTCACTCTATTATCCTTATCTTTGTCTCAGTGAGTTTCCGTTTTTCCCACAAATCCCTTGGAGGTTTCCAGTGCAACCCTCAAACCCAAATTACCCAGAAGTTAACTCCTGATAAGTCAAACCTTTCTACAGAAAGAAGTAGAATTTTACTCTGTCTTCAAAATATACCTAAAGTCCGTTACTTTCTGGCTGCGTACTACCATCCTATTCTGGGCACTTGCATTCAAGTCCTACAAAAAGTACAACTGCAAAAGCTCCTGGACTGAGCTCCCTGCTTCTGTCATTCATTTCCCACTTTCTCCTCCTTGCACAGTCTACTCTCCCAAAGCAGCAAGAAGAAGCATTTATTTTGTTTTTATTCCACACCTGGAGGTGCCACTATGGCTTGCTGCTCATGGTTCAGTCCCTGGCAGTGTTCAGGGGACCATATGTAGCGCTGAGGATCAAAACTAGGACTCATGCATGTTAAACAAGCCTGTTGAACTCTCTCTGTCCCAGACCTTAAGTCAGATCATGTTGGTCCTCTGCATTTTGACTTGCAGAAGCTCTCATAATGCTTAAAGTAAAATGCATGATTGGGTAGAGAGATGCATTATCTTTAACCTGACTGTAAGGTCCGTTGGGATTTGGATTTCTTCTTGACTGGCCTTTCTTGCTTCTCTGTACCTGCTGTTCCACTTCAGTCACACTGGCCTCCTCTGGGTCCTTGAATATGATGACTCACACTCACAGCCCTGGTCTTCCACACCTGCTGTTCCCTTTTCTTTAAATTACTGGCTCCTCTGTATCTCCCAAGATGGATTCTTTTAGATCTTGGCTTAAAATATCACCCTATCAATGCTCATATGGGTGTGTCTCTCTCTAGCTCTCATCCCCCTGCCTCCCCTCATCCCCTACTTTCTTAAAAAACTCTATGATGTCTGGGGCTAGGAATAATACAGCAGGTAAGGCGTTGCATCCTTGGTTGGATCCCTAGCACCCCAAAAGGTCCCCTGAACACTGCTAGGAAAGATCTTAGAGAAGAGTTAGGAATTAGCCCTGAAGACAGGTGGGCATGGCCTCAAAACAAAAAACTACTTGACTAAAAATATTAAGAACCACATCATCAGAAGCCTTCAGAGTGGTTGGTCATCTTACACAAAATCACAATTCCTCAATTCTCCTCCCCCATCATCTTACCCTGCTTCTGATCTTTATAACAGAACGCCTAGTAGACAATATTTACCTACTGCATACATCTTTCGATCAATTTTTTCATTATGTTTTGAGCTATTAGAACTGGGGGAAGGAGTGCTGGAGATCAAACCCAGAGCCTCTCACACGCAGCCAGCACTCTACCTACCACTAGCCACATCCCCAGCCAGAGACTACAGCTCTTGAATGCAAGAACTTTTCGTTTTGTTAAATGCTCTGTACTTAGCTCCGAGACTTGTGCTAGGCATGTACAGACATGTATTACTTAATAACAGGAACGCATTCTGAGAAATGCGTCGTTGCAAGATTGCATCGTTGTATGAACGTCAGAGTATAATTACAAACACCGTGCTGGTGCAGCCCACCACACACTTCACCCCTATTAGGACCACCTTCATAGAGCAGAGTTCATTACTGATGAAAGCAGACACAAAGTGAAACATTGTTCATCCACACATGATTGTGATGCCAGGGCTTTACTCTTGCCTCTGTGCTCTGTGAAACCAGATATATGTAGTTAAATGTTGCTAATGAAAATCAGGAGCCTGAGGGGCTAGAGAAAAAGTCCAGGAAATAAGGTACTTGAAGATGACCCTAGTTTGATTTCCAGCACACATGCTCCTCTGAGCACTGCAAGGAATAACCCCTAAGATCATCAATATGACTCAAATTGACTCTCCACCCCTCCAAAATAAGAAAATCAAAGATCTGGAAAGTAGCTCAATGTCAGGGTATATATATATATATATATATATATATATATATATATATATATGCCTTGTATGCATTATGTTCTATCCCTAAAACAAAAATGGCAGCAAAAAAAAAAAACGGGATAGTGGATGGTATAGCAATTAGGGTGCAGGCTCGGAAGCTGGCCTGGTTCAATTCCTAGTACCACACAGTCCCTGAGTATCCATGGGTGAACCCTGGAAGCCCCCAGGCACTTCCAGATGTGACCGTAGAGCCCCCTAGAACCGCAGTGTCCAAGTTGCAACCTCACTGAACCAGTGGGGCCCCTCGGCCTCCTGAGCACCACTTGGACATCCCACACACACACTGAAAATACACATACACACACAGAGAGGGAAAACCCTGAAAATTCACTTAGTTGCCTCCTGTCCCATAACCAAGGAGAAAACAAAACAAAAATAAATATTTTTCACGGTCATGGATGTAACTCAATGGCAGAGTAGACACCACACATATATGCTGAGTATCTTTGGCACCTTTAAAAAAATTTTTCCTCACCCCCAAATTAATCAAATGTATTTAAAAAAATTCTCCAATAAAAAGACACTAAAGTACTATCAGAGAAACAGACTAATACTAGCCTCAACTCCTCCCAACCAACAATTAATTTCATAACCCAGTTCCCTGAGGTAGGAAAAATGCTCCAGGGAAGGAATGAAATAAGAATATTGAACCAATTAACAGCGCAACTGTTTGCCTTGAAGTTTCCCACTCCCGCAAGAAGAGTCTGTATTATTCCTAACTACACTTCATTCCCAAGAGGAGACATTGCATTAAGATTCCTTCACTATGTCCAGTATCCTATCCTGGAAGCATACTCTGATTGCCCAATCTCCCCAGAGAAATCTTTCTGTGATGGTCACTCAGCTACTGACCACTCATCATTGCTCAACTTTCTTCTGTATCATTAGTATTTTCATTGACTTAGCTGACAACAAACAATAAGATGTGTGTGTTGGAGGGGATGGGGGGGAACAGAGAGATTGTACAGCAGGTAAGGCACTTGTTCTTGCGTGTGGTCAATCTGGGTTCAATCCCTGCATCCCGTATGATCTTTAAGCATCACCAAGTGACTGTTGAGGGGCTGAAGCAATAGTACAGTGGGTAGGGTGTTTGCCTTGCACACAGCTGACTCGGGTTCAATCCCTGGCATCCCATATGGTCCCCTGAGCACTGCCAAGATTAATTCCTCGGTGCAGAGCCAGGAGTAATCTCTGAGCATCGCTTCCAGGTGTGACCAAAAAAAAAAAATGATCCTTGAGCACAAAGTCAGGAGTAACCCAAGTATGGCCCCAAACCAAAAAGAAATTAAAGATAAAATGACAGCACACAGAATCCAGAAGGGGCTAAGGAAAGAAGCAAGTCGTCAAATGAAACATTTCCTCGCCCCGCCCCCAGTCCTTTTTTAAAGGCATTTTTTATTAGTTTATTAAAGAACTGTGACTTGCAAAGTCATTGGTAGTTGAGTTTTAGGCATATAATAGTTCAACACCAATCCTACCACCAGTGTCAACTTCCCTTCACCAATATTCCCCTTATTCCCTCCCCAATGAAATTTTTTTTAATTTACATATTTGGTTTTGCTCTCTAGAGGCTGTCAATCACAGCTTTAACCAAATAGTCACTTCCTTGATTTTTTTTTAATGACTGCTTTTGAAATCCAGTCTTACAATTTAAGTAACTGATGTGAACTTTAAGAATTTACTATTGCCAAAAGATTGCATTTATCTGGGGAACATAAAGTAACAAAATAGGAGACTAACACCCAAGAATGGCCGAGATTAGTATCAGGAATTTTACTCCATGTCTTGGAGGCCAGCCACACATGCTAGGGGAAAAGGGAGCTCAGATAGAGAAGGGAGCACCAAATAAATAAAGGGTGTTGGGAGGATCCTCCCAGGATGGGAGAAGCATGCTGAAAGTAGACTATAGACCAAACATGATTGTCACCCATTGCCTCTTTTGCAAACCACAACACCCAATAAGAGAGAGAGAGAACAAAGGGGAATGGGGGGTGGGAGGGATACTGGGATCCGTGGTGGTGGGAAATGGGCACTGGTGGAGGGATGGGTATTTCATCATTGCATAGTTGAAACCCAAGCACAAAAATTTGTAAGTCTACAACTGTACCTCATGATGTCTCACTAATAAAAAAAAAATTTACTATTGCCAGGGCTGGAGCAATAGCACAGCAGGTAGGGCATTTGCCTTGCACGTGGCTGACCTGGGTTCGATTCCCAGCATCTCATATGGTCCCCCGAGCACTGCCAGGAGTGATTCGTGAGTGCAAAGCCAGGAGTAACCCCTGAGCATCGCCGGCTGTGACCCAAAAAGAAAAAAAAGAAAAGAATTTGCTATTGCCCCTGTAAGCTCTTTTCTTTATGTGAAATAACACTTAACATCACAGCATTTGATGAAAATATTAAGAGATAATATATATTAAACAAAAGAAAAATAAAGAAATGAAAGGGGAAAAAATGGTATGTGGAACAGGACTGTGCCTGACAAATAGTAGTATTTGTCATATACAATATATGTGGCTACACTTATTCTGAAGGTTCACAATTTCATGCAGTGGTTTTTACCCTTGTATGGTCGACTGGTTGATTAAATGAAAAAAATGTAGAGTATTTAGCATAGTATTTGGTTTATAATAAAACAGCAACAAATACTGACTTTCCCTCCTGCTCCTTCAATGGCAGAAAACTGTAGAGACTACAGAAGCCAGCTAAGTCCATGAGTGCAGTCAGATTTCCTTGTACAACATACTCACCATTTAGGTAATTTAAGCTTCAGTCAATACCTCTGGCTACTCCCCTGACGCTTACTGTCTTGAAATCAATCACTCCTTTTCAGTGGCAGCTGCCTCCTGACCTAAACAGAATAAAAACAGAAAGAACATGATAGGTAAAGTGTGACTCACACCAAGACTAAGCTGACCCAAAAGCCTGTCCCCAATATCTTCACCAACACCCAGTGCTGTGAGAAAAGGCACAAGAGCTGAGTGGAGATCCTGACTCTGAAGGTGTCTCTCTCCTGGAGACTTCCTTTGTGCTACCAGGGCAGATGACACTGTCTTTCCTTAAGTTAACAGACCTATATCCTCCCCGATAGTCTCCTTAGAGTATTCACATAACATCTGGGAACTGGGATGGACCTTAGAATCAACCAGTTAAAGACATTTTAAGGAAGGAAACTTGGAAAGGGTGAAGCTTGGAAAGCGTGAGTCACACAACTGCTTTAGGGCTAAACTTGGGATTCTACTAAAATAAGATGTTCTGAAAGATGGGTAAGAAAATAACCCAAATATCTGATGAGTATCTATCATACGCAAATATATTTCCTGTCTTATACAATACAATAAATATCACAACAACATTACCCCATAGAATCTACATTTCAAAAGTAACTTGCCCAAGGTCTTCTGGCACAGTTTGCTAAAAATGGCAGTCAGAAATTTGGGTGGGTATGTGGAGGATTTGAGTCACACTCAGCAGTGCTTAGGGACTACTCCCAGCTCTGTGCTCAGGAGACCATGTAGTAAAGGGAGAACTGAAAAGCCCATTATCCCACTGAATGTGACCCCTAAAATCCATGAAGGGTTACAGGAGGAATCTGGGTAAAATTTCTATGTCAAAACTCAGTCTTAGGGGAAAATGGAAAGATGGCTTCTGAGTTAGAAGCCTAATTTTAGGGAAATGAACTTGAACACTGTTTCTGTCTTTTCAAGACAACCCATCTAGCCCTTAACATACCCCACAGACCACCATGTGGCCTCCTCCCAAGACTGCAAGGCATGTCATCCAATTTTCACACCTCCAACACTATATAATCCATCCCTGCTTCAGCCTCCTAAAGAGCTAGAAAGCTATAACTAAGATACAAAAATAAGTTGGGGCTACAGTGAGAGTACACCAGGTAAGGCACTTGCCCTGAACACAGCCAAGCCAGGTTTGATTCCCCAACATCCCATATGGTCCCCTGAGCATTGTCAGGTGTGATTTCTGAGTGTAAAGCCAAAAGTAACGCCTGAGGATCACCAGGTGTGAGCCCCACCCACAAAGAAAAGATAGAGGAGTATGTCTCAGGAAAGCCCTCTCCTGAAGTCCTTCCTCCCTCGTCTTCCCACCAGATTCTGTTGCTGAGGGCCACTTATTATTCCCTTATTATGTTTCTTTATATCTCACATATGAGGGAGATCGTCTGTTTCTGCCTCTCTCCTTCTGGCTGACTTCATTTACGAGGATCCCCTCCAGTTCCATCCACACAGCAGCAAACTACACAATTTGATCTTACAGTCCAATAGCATTCCATTGTGTATATACACCACAGTTCCACTGACAGTATTATTAAGTCACAATGACTAAAATATCATTTCAAAAGAAAGATAGCAACAAAAAAATAGAGAAATATGGGCCTGGGGGGTGTGGCTCAAGTGGTAAAGTAATACCCTGCATACGTGAAGCTCTGGATTTAATCTCGGACACAGCACCCCCCAACTCCAGCATCACAAGAAGTGAAACATTCATGCCCCCAGCACCACCTCACTGACACAACAAAGCAAAAGACAGAGAAATAATGATGGGAATTTTTTGGAACAACTTAAAGGAAGATGAGGGGTGAGAGATACAGTATGATAAGGTGTTTGCCTTGCACACAGAGCTGACGCAGAAGTGATTCCCTTAGTGCAGAACAAGAGTAGGCTCTTAGTAGTGCCAGTGTTACCCAAAAACTTGGAAAGCAATGCCATGGGAGGGGCTAGAGCACAGTGTGTAGGGCGTTTGCCTTGCACGTGGCCAACCCGGGTTTGATTCCCAGCATCCCATATGGTCCCCTAAGCACCTCCAGGAGTAATTCCTGAGTGCAGAGCCAGGAGTAACTCCTGCATCTCCAGATGTGACCCAAAAAGCGAAAAAAAAAAAAGCCATGGCATGAAGTTTTCCTTTTTGGAGCTTTGACTTATGAGCTGACCGGGTGAAGCTCCAATTACAAGTGAATCCTAATTTTTCTGTCCAGAGCTGAATACAAAGCTCAGGATTAAGACAAATAAAAGTAATGTAAAGAAGAAAAGAAAGTCTCCCAGGTTCTGTGTGCAAATTTTGCCCAGCTCTCATAGTCCTGGCCTATGCACAAGGCAGAATCTAAGGACCTCAGCTAAGAAGAAAAGAGCTGAACTGTGCTACTCACTACAAGTGAGATGGAATTTGTAGTTTTGAGGCAGGCAGGCAGGCAGGCAGGCAGGCAGGCAGGCAGGCAGGCAGGCAAGCAGGAAGGAAGGAAGGAGGGAGGGAGGGAGGGAGGGAGGGAGGGAGGGAGGGAGGAAGGAAGGAAGGAAGGAAGGAAGGAAGGAAGGAAGGAAGGAAGGAAGGAAGGAAGGACAAAGAGTCTTCACAATGTAACATTCACATGTATTCAAGAACTAGAAAACTAAAACCCATTTCAAGGGGGAAAATTCATCAGCAAAGGGCAACTCTAATATGACCCAGATATTGGAAGTTACACAAGAATACTAAACCAACTATTACAACAAAACAGATATATTGAAAACAAAAAATCTTTAGATGCCAGGGATTGAACTCAGGGCCTCATGAGATTAACAAATACATATACTCGTGTTGGAGATGAGGGCACTGGAGGGAAGAGTGGTGTAAAAAACAAGTGGCAGAAGGCATGTTCAATTTCTGTAAGCCTTGTTTTGGATTTTTTATTTTTTCATTCCTTTCTTCCTTATCCCTCATGCCCACAGGAGAGAGAATCCAGAAGATTTTTAAATGAAATGGGCAAATAAGAGGAATATGTACTCTTCAGGTATAAATAAGCCCACATAGGAATTCTCTACTAACCCTGTTGGATCTCAGTCTAATACTCTCTGGGTCTATTTCATAAGCTAAACAAATTTTTAATACTTCTGGGACTGGAGAAATAGCTCAATGGGCTGAGTGCATGGTTTGCATACGGGACTCCCAATATCACATGGTCCCCTGATTACTGCCAGGAGTGACTGACATCCACTGAGGTATCTTCTCCAGCCCCAAAAGTATTTAAAATTCCTAAGGGATAAGAGGCTGAGCCATACCCGGCAGTGCTCAGGGAATACTCGTGGCTCTGTGGCTCAGGGATCATTCTTGGCAGGGCGCAGGGGTCCATATGCAGTCCCAAGGATCTAACCAGGATCGGCCACATGCAAGGCGAACACCTTACCCACTGTATTATCTCTTTGTCCCACTATTCATATTTTAAGAATGAATTAATAAGCAGGGAATGTAGCTCAGTGGCAGAGCACATGCCTTCTATGTATCAAGGCCCTGGGCTTCACCAAACTCCAAAAAAGTTAATCAATTCTCAAAAGAAAATTCTTAAATTGCGCTAATAAGGGAATTTCACATTATGATACAGAGCTTCTAATATAATGTTCTTCTCTTTATAAATCTCTCAAGGTACTATTTATTTTTAAAACTTAACTCCTGGAATGAAAAAGCAGTTAACCATATCTGCCAAATGACAAAGGAGTATGTTAAGGAAGTTAGAAACAGGATAAGGTTCCAGAAATCCCACCTCTGGGATCTTTTTCTTCCCATCTTACTTTAAGAAGTCTTATTTAACTAAAAAAGAATGGGGAGTACAAACAAGATTGGGATTGGAAGGAAAGGACTTAAGAACTTCTAAGTCCCTTTGGAAGCACTTATTAATAAGTAATTGATATAGCTAGCTTCTGATTAGGGTATCTATTTAAAACACATCCTTGAGAGCTGCCACCTGGCTCTGCTGCTTTCTTTTCTAACAAGTAGTCTATAATTGAGACAAGGCTTCTTTGCAATTAGCCCATGCTTTGTGGGGTTTAGCAGTAGAACCACATCTCTAAAATTATCGGTTATTCGCCAGCTTTAAGAAAACTGGCTGAAAAGGACATACTGGTTCGCTTTAACACATAAAGGGGCCACATGCAGTTAAACAGCAAGTCACAGCAATTACCCTTTTTAAAAAAAAAAAGTAACCAAAGTGTTTCTATTACCTAATGTCATCTGTGGGATGACCCTATCAAGAAAACAGCATCATGTTTATTTTATAAATAAGAAAGAAACAGAGGAAGGTTAATTCCCATAGCTGGTTAAGCGGTAACAAATAACCAGATTCTCACTTAGGTGCGTTTCAGCCCCAAATTTTGATTTCCCTCTCCAATCTACCTTCTCTCCTAAAGGAACTGGCTTTCAGGTCTGACTTGTTAGAAAGCCAATCCGAAAGACCCACACCTTGAACATAACTTTTTGTGAGGTTGGTAGATAATATGTCCATTCACTCATGTGTTCACTGATTCAAGCATTAACTGCTTCAGCGCCTCAAGTACTGAGGTAAGAAATTTCAAGTCACCTGCCTCTCCAATTTCCATAGATGTACCAATTAGCTGGAAATGTCACCTATAATGCTTCACATAGCATTCCATGTTTCATTCTATTCCACAGATTCAGGTTTTAAAAACACACCTTATCTTCATTGCATTTATTATATAACAATAAAAAACACTCATTTAAAGACTCATTCTATAAATTAATATGAAATATTGTTAATAGAAATTGACCTCTTAGGATGTCTAGGAAGGCTCCCAGTAATTTGTGAACATTCCAAGTACCAGAGAGAGCCTTGGGAACATGAGTAAACTGTGTGACAGAAGAAGGGAAAACAAGTAGACACATGAGGTGAGATGAGGCTGGAGAGAGAGAGAGAGAGAGAGAGAGAGAGAGATCTATATACCACACTGGCCTTGGAGGCTAAACTAGATTATTTAGGTCACTAAATCATATAGGAAATAATCTTTGCAAAAACAGAGTTAAGATGTGTACATTTCAGAGACCACTTTCGCTTCAGTATAAACAGAT